TTATAAATTCAAAAAAATTATTTTTTTTTATTTGGGGGTAACTAACAAACTCTTCAGCAAAATCTTAAAATTCACAGGCAGGTATCGAAAGATTTGTCTGCTCTGACAGAGCATGCTATTTTTCGTAAAAACACCAAGAAAACTTCACAATAGCATGCTCCGTCAATACCTGCCTCTGAAATTGTAACTTGTTTATTTATAGCTTAAAGGTCCATATTTTCAGGAAATATGCATTGTCATCATTACAGTGAAGAAAAGATCTATGTGAATACCTTTGTTACAATCTCTACTGTTCAGATGCAAAGGTATACAGTAGACACTGAATTTCTTCATCAATTGTGAGCCAATAAAATATTTACAGACATCAAATAGATCTAGGGAATATGTTGATTGAAATAAGACCAAAAGATATGAGGGTTCAACATCAAATAATCGAAATATTACATTGAAGAAAATGGATGGCAATTTTTCAAAATGCCAAGCTTACATCTTATGCAGATGTATTTTCAGTAAATGTTTAGCACAATTGAAATACAGTTGCAAAATAAATCAAGACCATTTGAAGTATAAACATGTATAGACATGGCGGAGCGGGACAGCAGTCGCTCCTCCCCACCCCCTGGCCATAAATTATCAAAACCTTGCAGTTTTTCACCATTCTGGGCACTTTCACATGATGTTTTAACCAAAAAAGCTCCTACCTTGGCAAAAGCTCTCTACTTGGTTAAACCGTTCCCATGGTAAAAGCTGACTATCACCCTATGCAGATTGTGCTACACGAAAACAAGCGGTGCAGATATCATATGTGAAAGTTGAGGATATTAACTGTCATTTTCTAATTTGAACTTATGACATTTCATAAACTAAGTAATGTTGGGTACTCAATTATAGTCATCCATTTGTTGATCGTTTTTGCCAAGACGTCTTGGAATGCCATGTGTAGTGTAAATAGGGCTAATATGAATTTAATCGAAATAGCACACAGACATCCTGCATTCTGACAGTTGTGCAACCTTTTACCACATAATATTACTGTATATAAGATGATTCCAATACAGATCTAATTTTTAATTATTTGAAATTCATGCCTCATTGTTTTGCATAGTCTTAGAATATAAAAAAAAGTCTTGGTAAACGTGCTGCACGGTAAACCCTGTATCAATGAACATCTCTCTCTAGTGAACACCTCTTCTTATCACATATTCCTCTGACTTCTGTATAAAATTGCACCTATGGAGTGAACATCTGCCAACTGGGAACTCCATATGTTCAACGTTCAACGTTGTTTCATTTGATAAAAATAAATGGTCTATTAGGACTCTAATTGAAGAGATATACCAATGTAAAAGTCAACGTGTGAGTGGGAGAATGCATGTGGGCTTGAGCAAGCTATTGGTAGCACTTTTAGTCCCAAAGAGGTGGATTTTCAAACTTGCTAGAACAAAATATTTTTCTGAATCATAATTTTACTTAATGTCTTACCTTTTATTTTTTATTGACCCAGAGATAACTTTTTGCATCGATATCGGAAAAATCAGGATGATATTATAAGACCCAACTTTGGCTCTTCGGAAAGGACACACACATAATTGCAATTATTAAAGGGTATATATAAGTTTCATTATATGTTCCGCATATTTTGTTTTAAAGCATGCACATATATGGTTCTAAATAACTAATAGTTTTTATCTGAATCATTATCATAGAAATGAAATAGGAAGACCAGTCTCGTCACTTGGCCTGTGATTTTGGCAAAAAAATCAATCATTTTTCCAATTACGATAATACTTAATAACGTTGAATATCCTGTTGATTTTACCTTCTGTCTGAATCATTACAAAGTCCTTGATAATGTTTGATTATATATGAGACAATCATGATAGTATATATGTGTACCATATGACTAAACTACACTTGTCCAAAGCTCTTCGGAAAGGACATTTTTTAGTGTATTGCTAAATGCTGTTAAATAGATTAAATTTGTGGGAGCAATTTTCGGTGATTGTACATTTGTTTCTATTCGTGTATTCATGTTTTCGAGATTTACCACAGATTACAACATTATCTGCAATTTTTCATAGGTAGATATATGGGCGATAATAAGGCAGAACATCATTAAAGTCTGAATGTACTTATAGTTTTTGTAGCTGCTGGGCCAGGGACACGTGGGCCTATGTAACAGCATTATGCACAGAAACGACTCAATTGTTGGTGGTAATTGTCAGTGGATTAAACCTATTATCACAGGAAAAATAGTGATGAAGATACAATTTTATATTTGCAGCATTCTTTATTTGCAATTTTACACTTGAGTGTTTTAAAGGGTTTTACAGTACTGTCCAAATCAAGATTCAATGTAATATTTGTAAACATTGTGCTAGTGCCTTTATACATAAGTAGAAAAGTTAGTTATTGACATCCAATATAGCATTCCTAATCAGAGATTGGATTGCTCTTCGGAAAGGACACATTTACTTTTGTAGTTCCTGTTTAAGTCTCAGTTACTTCAGTAAAGATATTTTATGTATAAAAGTTCATCAGTAAATATATTCCAATGTGTTTCTCTTTAAAATTGTTGGTAAATGCACTGTTTTGACAGAGTTTGTCTTTTCCGAAGAGCTCTGCGGAAAGGACTTTATTCTTGTGTCGGAATTTTAAAATTGATTTTACAGGTATATATGACAGTTCAAAGCTACTAATTTGTTTTGAATATTCAAGAAACTAAATGCATTTTGTTTTAAAATAGTTTTTAGTGTATCATATTACTTAAGTCTTGAAATACACATGCTCTTCGGAAAAGACATTTGCGTGTCGGAAAATCAGTTACTTATTTTGAGAGCCAATATCTCAGGAACCACTACAGCCTTTTCTATAATTTTTTATTGACAGAATTCTAACATTCAGTACTTTTGATATCATCATAAAAAAACAGTAAGCAAACATTGGAAAATATGTTCAAAAATCTTTTTTAACATAAAATTTACAATGAAATGTTACACCAACGGTTGTGTGCTACAAGTGGTTATCAAAACTCTATTCACTATTATGGACACACTTGTTGCATATCATTTTAAAGCAAATTCCTTAATCTTTCCAATGCAGCCAAATTACTTTAACTTACTCTCTTCAAGTACATGCTTGAAGTATATTTGTAAATGTGGATATTTTCTTGGGAATTTGTTACATAGAGAATAAGGCATATATTGATACATGAAAATTTATAAAAAAATTATCATTCATCTTTCAAGAAAATGATATCTTCCCCAGACATATAGTGGATGTACCTAATAAATAAGACTGATTTCACATCTGTATCTTAAGCCTTGCATTTTTTCTGGGTGCCAATATGAAAGTGCTACCAATAGCTTGCTCAAGCCCATGTATGAATGAATTTGAATGGGTATTGGGTATGAATGAAGTTCAAGTTGTAAGATCATGTAAAATTATATTTATTTAAACTCATACAACTTATAGTACATATTTCTACATATAAAACTTTTGTGAAATTACATATTGTACTTGAAATGTATTAAATGAGTACTTGAATAAAAATAAATAAAATAAAAAATAAAAATATGTGTTCAACGTACACATGTTTAGACAGTAGTTCTAACTAAAAATGTAACAAATGCTACTAAACCTTTGCCATCAAAAGGTTGCTAAAAAAGCACGAGGAGAGCCTTTTTACTGCAATATATGTCAAGCAGGAAAGGGACTTCATGAAGATGTACATTGTCTATAAGACTAAGGCCAACCTAATAGTCATAAAAAGATTGCACACGGAGGCACAAAACCAATGTTGCTGTTAGTTTGCTACCTATGTCAAAAAATATCTGAGAAATTGAATTCCCGGGCACATTCAAAGAAAATATTAGATTTTATACAAATTGTATACAAATAAAGAAACATTTTAGTTTACAAGTACACAACCTTAATATCATGTCATATTATTTTCTTTACCAACTACATACAGTAATACATGAGCATAAATGGTTTAACCTTAACAATAGAGGAACTACAAAACTATGAAAATGTTTAGGTTCAAGAACAACGAAACACATGAACAAAACAAACATCTTAAATTCATTTGTTATCTTGTATGCTATCTGTTCATGTAAGTTAAAGCGGCTCTAAGGTCTGTGGAGAGAAAAATGGAGAAATTTTACCTTTTCTGAGCTATCGGGGTGAAGTTTGGTCCAACATCTTCTTCCTTATTCCTATTTTATAAAAATGTATGCATATGGCAATATTCATCAACCAGTAGAACTGGCAAATCGTTTAGAATCTACAATTCCATACAAGGAGTCCCACTCATAGATTTTTCAAATTCTTTCCAAGTCGACGTCGAAACACCTAGCGGGTGAAATTGAAACTAATTTTTCTGGCTGCTCGAATCGATAAAATCTCTGATAGTGTGAGTCTTTTTATGAAATCTTTCTGATAGAAAACACTTAATTAATATTAGAAAGCATTAATGTTGAATCCGAAGCGTAATCTGAAATAAAAGTGAAAAAACATTGCGCGGACGTCAGAGAAAAACTTCCGGTTTAATAAAAAATGGCGGACGTCGAAGGAGAAATTATGACGAAGAATTAGAGGATTTTCCTTTGCCATTATCGATCGTTATAAGGTATGTGCACAAATTCTAGTAGCATACATGGAAAATAGATACATTTTTAAAGGCAACAACATATTCAAAGCTTTCATTTTACGATAGGCCCAGGATCATTGGATACGACTCGGCAATCGATACTCCCACTTTAAGTCTGAGAAAATACGCATTTGTTTTGTGCATTCCTTATTTTAGTCCCTCACAAAAAGCATTGAAAGCAGTAACCAAATTCATATTCAGATGCTTTACAAAAAAAATAGTTTGAACGTTGTAAAACTAAAACATCTGCGATTGATTCAACAAAACAAGGTAATGCATCGTAAAAATTGACCATGTCAGGTGATGGATCCACACTCGACAGTAGGCACTACGAAAGGCAAATACCCTCTACTGAAATGAAGTAGACTATCATTTTAATGCGTTACCTTGAAAAACCGTGACAGGCCCTTCTCTAATTATAAGCTAAAGAGTCTCTTTTTTCTTTTGTTCCTCTATAGATGAATGGACCAACAGATGGATGGATGATTGATAAGGGTGAACATTTCATGTGCAGGAAAATATCAAATAATCTGATTGGTATAAACTAACAATTCCGTGTGTGCGCATGTGACGTGTTATTCCAGTCGTTTTTGTTCCATGAGAATTTATGTTTTTCACGAATTCCATGGAATGAAAAAGGTTCTGAAAAGCAAATGGCAGAACAATGAAGATTTAACAGGTAACATTACATCCAGCTTTTAGAGATTATTTTGCCATCATGAATATTAGCAAAACCTTTGCTTCATTTGTGCATTTTATCCTTGAGAAAAGTGTCTTAGGCATCAAAAGGCAAATATGTTTCAGAAGGAACACTATTTTGTAAAACCAATCCTCATTTATCTATATTCAGACTGAAGGAAATAAATGTACAACATAAATATTATGTGACGATTTTACAGCATCGTATGTGTTTCAACAAAACTTTGATCAGTTTCAAGATTCCCCAAATTAACTTTTGAACGACTTCCTTTTTAGAACTTCCCAAAGGCAACCCTCAGTTCCTCACAGTTTTTCAGAATAAAACAGTCATGCAGGCCATCTTTTCCAGACTATATAACATTCAGATGTCCCATATTCCAACCTTGTTCTACAATGTTCTCCGGCCACAGAAGAATGTTTAGTGGTGACACATTTTTCATTTCTATGCATTACAACTTAAAGTGTATTTATTACAGCCAATGGGGAAAAGCTAGCTGATAGTAGTTCTGAGCTTTCACACAAATTCACTAGTTTGCCAAGTGCCTTCACATCACCCTCAGCATTATGGGATTCATACGTCATACCAAGAAGATCAAACACAAGGTCTTTCTGTTTATGGGATCTATTTGGAAACTTTTTCCTGAACACTTTCAGACTGTCTATACAGCCACTGACTGCCTTCAAAAAGGAATTGATTGTTCCAGTTTTTTTCAATGCAGTCATTAGCACTGGCATGTCAAACATTTGGCCATTGTGGGCAATAATGTAAAGTTTTGAAGTTTTGAAATTCAGCAGCCAGGTACACAGTTGTTCGAGGGCAAGTTTGATATCCAATGATTCGACACAACGGCCATTTACAACCATATCTCCATCATCATTAAGTGATATCCCTGTAATTTTCTGTACCTCAGAACAAATTGGAACTTTGGGCTTACAGTAGACCGCAAAACAGGTGTTTGATTTGATGTCAGCTGCAGCAATCTGTGTAATATGTGGCATTATGCCACCACGTACTGAAACAGTATAATACAGTTACAGCTGAATTCTATGTTAATAGACGTTTCCGATAAATCGTGCCATCTTTTGATCCGTCAGAGAAACCACAATATATTGGCTAGATTGATGTCATAGGTTGTACATTTATAAAATTAGCAAAAAGTTAATACCATTTTTGAATGGGCAGTTTGCTACCTGCAACCAATGACATCATCAATCTGGTCAATAAGTTATAGTTTCCCTGATGGATCAAAAGATGGCACGATTTATCGGAAATGTCTATTGCTTGTAATATCATCATAATCTCCTTAATAAATGCTTCAGCCATTTTGGTTTACAACATTTTCTTAGGCACTATGTAGAAAGAATATTGCAGTGAAAATTAAATCAAATTATTTAAAAATACTGTACTTTTGGAGAACATTTGATTCAATAATTTCAAATTGATTTGGAATTTACACAAAACTACATGCAAAATGTTATCACCTGCCATTTGTTACAGACACTGAATTCTGACCAACCCCACCGACCAAACACCATCCTCAAAAAGTTCGGTCAATAACAATATGTCACCATGAATGGTAGCAACAAAAAGTTCAATTTTTTTTGAAAACTTACTCAAATCAGTAGTTTCAAGATCAAGGGTGATGAATGTAGGTTCGCCAGTTACAACTTTGTCAGGCTGAAAATTCCCATGAGGAGCAGCTCCTGGTAGTTGCTCCATATCAGGTTCATCAAAATGACCAACACCTGTAAGTACATTTCATACAGGCTGCCTATTCTTAACTTGCACAAGTGAATTATCAATCAATAATTCCTCACCTGCTAGTACGCTTTTGGCCATGAACAGAAGATAAACACAGCAATGGCCTACTGGTAGTGCAGATTGAATGCATATCAATCACACAAAGCTAGACATGGTGTGTCCGATTCAAGCCAATCCAAACACAATATTTCATTTTACTGCATTGCGTTATATAACCAACAATCCACCCAAGGTCATTTGTTGAATGGTTGTTACATGTCAAATGTTTTAAGACAGTGTACCATGCTTATGAGTATTCACATATCAAATATGATATATACTCCTCAAAAAAAAGTTAAGGACCTCTTAGGTTTACATGTTAACCCCCATATTTGTTTAACGACTGTTTTTTAAGCGGGGAACAAAAGAATTCCCAATAAAGAAAATAAATCTGTATCTTGATTCTATTCACTATAATCCGCAACGTTTCAATTTTATATCTCCATTACATTGGGTCAAAATTTTATGTTAAAATTGATGAATTTCATGAAATTTAACAAAAATGGCAGATCCCATGTTAAACAAATGGGGAATGGTTGGGTTGCCATAAGTCATATGAGGAACGGTCCATCCATCCGATTGCTCTCAAAATTGATATTGTAAGAGATAATTAAATTTGCTAAATTGTCTACTCAACAAAAATATGATTTAATTGTCCAGGCTTTACAAAAGTTAATGGTTTCAAATTCAATAATTTTTTAATGAACCTCTTATTGAAATAACACAGGTGGTTGAAAGTGAGGTGGTCAAAATTACTTTAACGCTCCGTATCGTTAATTTTAACAACATAAAAGACATTTAGCATGTAAAATCATTCAATTTTCTACTTAGAAAGTATTTTTAATAAATGTTTTGCTGAATAGATATTCCAAAATCTGAGATGCCCCTAAGCCACCATTCCCCATTTGTTTAACATGGGATCTGCCATTTTTGTTACATTTCATGAAATTCATCAATTTTGACATCAAATGTTGACCCAATGTAATGGAGATATAACACTGAAACGTTGCGGACTTTATAGGGAATAGAATCAAGATACAGATTTATTCTCTTTATTGGGATTTCTTTTGTTCCCCGCTTAGAAAACAGTCGTTAAACAAATATGGGGGTTAACATGTAAACCTATGAGGTCCTTAACTTTTTTTGAGGAGTATAGTAAAAAAGGTAAAAAAGGCGGCCATTTTTCAAAATGGGCACCTTCTACCAAAAGTGTCATTAGACAGTGTGCCAATGCCATGCTTATAGTATTCATATACCAAATAAGAACAGAATCGCTCCACTACTTTTCTGGTTATAGTAAAAAACATTAAAATGGTGGCCATTTTTCAAAATGGCTGCCTTCTACCAAAAAATGTTATTAGACAATGTGCCATGCTTATGAGTATTCACATACCAAATATGAACATAATTGATCCCTTTAAAGGCCAGGGTGCATGTTCAGAATTTTGCTATATTCCTCAATTGAGTCACGTTATTTTTCAAACAGGAATCACTCCTTCCCCACATTGTCTACATCATCCAGTTTTGCACAAAGAGTGCACTTTTGTGCCTAGAAAAGGCTGATGAGAAGATTTGTTTAGTAAAATGTATAATAAACAAGGAAATTCAGTGAAAAAAATTTCTGGACATTTTCTGAATTTGAATTTTTCTTGTTTTTTAAATATCAAAACATTCTTCCATACATTCTTTTACATTAGTATGACATGCTTGAATAATTTTCAAACCCTGCCAGTACTAAATACTTTACTCATGTTCGGAAGTTCATTTTATGACTACAGTAGTTATTACTTAGGATGGCGTAGCAGGACTGTAGAAACAGTGGTATTCTTTGGGTTGAGCATAGTAAGTAGTATTCATCCTACGAATTACATGTAATATAAAATCAAGCATTTTCCAATGTTGTTATCGAATCCTACTACCACTTTAGATTGTGGTTGTACGCACGAACTAGGGATACCAGGAGCGCTCGAGTTCTGGAGCAATTCACCTCCGATACGAGCTGTATCGATACATAAATTGAATATCGGTGTATCGTTTTTTGACCGGAAGTCCCTTCTTACTTACCCAAAGGAAGGGAAAAACTCAGAGCTTAGAGATGACAGACAGTCGTATAGTTCAACGTATCTTGCTTGTCACCTTCGTTTGCCCTCGGAATTCCACTCGATATCGAGAGAATCTCGTAAATCTTTCGTTTGGAGCCACTTTGGGCATCTAATTTATGTTAAGGCAGTCTTGCATGAAAAGGGCACTAAGAACACTATGTGCAAAATGAAACTCTATTATACAGGTCTGACAACAAACATAATGTTCCATTTGAAGAGATTTCACTTGATAATAGCAATTGACAACGAATATATGGCGCGTTTTCGCGGGAAATTTTATTCACTAAAAATTGACCCCACTTTTATATGCAATTTTGATTGCTCATATTTACTATGTTAAGAGTTGATTTGCTGTTATTTCTTTATAAAATCTGTTTAATAATTGAATGAAGTCTTCGCGCATTCTTAAGAATAGAAGAACATCGTTTTTGGCGAGGACGACTTTCACGAGGTAAAGTTTTAATCATTTAAACTGATGATGATGATGATCATGTAAACTCAGATTCAGTCAAAAATCCCCATTCCTGGGCACATGTAAATCTAATTCCCCACCCCCTGGATGACAATCTTCGTCAAATTCCTACCCCTGGGGGGCAATATTGTGGATCAAATTCCTTACCCTCCCCGCGTGGGGGGGGGGTCTCACGCAAACTTTTGAATGGTGCATAAGTCCTGATATGGTGGAATTTGTGTCTATAATGACAAATAAGAACTTAAAAATTTGAACATGTTAATGCCGACTCAAATGTTGAGGAGATTTTGGAGCCCGATTACGTCGCAATGAGCATTGGTTCCCAGAATGCAACATGACACATGCCAGCTTTCAAAATGCTGTTCCGCCATTTTGAAACCTGTCACAAGTAATTAAGGTTAACTGATGTTGCATTCTGGGAGTCAATCCTCCTTAGACTTCAAGATGTCCCTAGTCCTAGTCGCATACCATTGAATAGATTGTCGCAGAATTCGGCACTCATTAATGTTAAAATTATGATGTTAGTTAGAGACCTACCCTTTATTTGAGCAGCCCACTTCTTTCCTGTCTCATTTATACAGTTGAAATTCTTGAGTTCTTAATTATCGTAAATCCTTTGTTCTATAAGTATAATGTCCAAGCAATTTCAACTTCGTTGAACTCATTCCTCTGGTCGTTAGGCAAATCCATATGAACACCAAGAAACGAAATTACTATAATAAGATTTCGCTAAAGCTACCAAACGTGTAGCGAGATATCATATTCTTTCGTGCTTAGAAAAAAGTTTTGCCGCAAACATTTTTAGAAATGCCTAGGAGAAAGGTATCTTTGTCTGGGAGTAAAGCGGTTGTAAATGTGACACCAGAAACAACGCCAACATATTGAAATAATGATTTTGATTAGTTAAAAGTTTGACATGCGATACGGGCCCTGCGATACCGCGCATGCACATAAAGAGGATTTTAAATGTCAAAATTAGTTCCAAATTTTTGACACAAATCACCTAATTACTCATGAAATAGACTACCAAATTACTTCACTAAACACGTAGCAGAGTGATATCGGAGTATTCAAAGATAGGGTAGGTGCATAGTTTATCACAGTTTGCTGCTGCGTCATTATAAATATAGGTATGCGTAATGGCCATGATATCATGGCCATTGGGAAAGGCTAATCCTCCTTGGATCACAAACACGGCGATTCATGAAAACATTTGTTCGATTTGGTAGGGATTTGTCCATCATTTGCAGGTATGAAGCTATACTATATCCTCTAGTCTGAATTTTTTTTGAAATTTGGAATGAAAATATTCAGACTATAGCCCACATATGTTAAAATTAATTTGCATTAATGTGCGTTTTTTATAGCAATATTTGCGTGTAATATTTAACTTATTTCAACCGTCAAATTCCTCCATTCAGTTCCCAGCAAACACCACAGGAATTCGTCTAGAAGGAAAAAGAAGTCAATAAAGCAAGCCTCGAGTCAATAAGCAAAGAAAAGTAAAAAGGAATTGATCAAGGCCCCAAAAAATGCCAGGAAATATATAGTATTCAAAATGTAGCACCTCATTAGATAGATTATAAGCACAGAAATACAATGAGATTGAGAAACTTGTGTTCTAACACCATGATAGTGTTATTTTTCAAAAAAGAAAAGAAAAGGGGGACTACATTCAACAATTTTTGATTATTCATTCTACTTGCCGCAGTGTCTATACCAAGACACCGCCATGCCTTACAGCAATTTTCGTTCAGTGAAGTCGTGTCTATTTCTAACATGTTGAGTTAAATTTTTTTATAAAATTTCATTTCTAAGTATATTACTAAAACGCAACACAGATGGTGACACATGTTGAACTATAACAGGACAGCATATTATAAAGCATCTATCGATCAACAAATATTATAAAAATAGGTAAGTAAACATCGTAAAACAACGATAACCTACATTATTCATTGTATCTAAATAACACTGAAATAAGTTTTTTACGAAAATTGCACAAAAAATTATCCTTCTCGAACTCTCGTCTTGTATGAGTCTGATCGCATCAGAATGTATATTTTTGTATTGCTTTACCAATTGTCTTTCAAATGATGTACTTCATTGTTGTTTTGAGATGACAAGGAATTTTTTATTTGATTTTTCAGTTGGTGTATCTATACATGTTGTATACCTTTCCCTGTGGGCATGCACCAGTCATAAGGGAAATCCCTGGGGAATTCCCCTTCCGACATTTTGAAAATTGCTGACATATTTCCGATGTAAAAACTAAAATCTCTTCGTTCTGCCGATAAACCCATACAATTGGTGATCTAACAACATAAAAAGAATTCTAAAAAAACACTCTGGAATGTATCGAGGTAGGTCATTTAAAATTACCAGGTAAAATGCGTATTTGCGTAACAGAAAATGTCACGCAAATACGCATTTTACCTGGTAATTTTCAAGCAAAAATATTTGTGTAGAAAAATTTCTAAAAAAGTTCGTCTACACAGTAAAAATACGAACGCCGAAAAAAAACGTACGCATTTCGTTCAGACTTTTCACGCGAATTACGTATATTTTACGCATTCCGTTCGAAATTTTTCGTACCTAAGCCCCTAGACTGTATCCTTCGTCTGAATAAATATTCAGACTGTAAGTCACCTATTGTAAAATGTGGTGTTGTATAAATGTTACAAATAAGTTTGTTTAATGATAAAATGATTACCTTATAAAGAACTTACAATATTATTTTTTCGTATATTGTCCTCTTACTGAAGATATTCATAAAATGTACAGACGCTTAGCCATTGATTAGGTCAAGCCATTTTGGCAATGCCAATTCTCACGATAAACGAGATTTAGCCAGTGACGTCAGTCTATTTGTAAACAAATAACACGTGGAGCGGACGGAGCAACATTACGGAAGCGTATTGATAAATTCCATTTGTGCGGGAATTTATTAGATCTAGTCATTTATTATCATTATCCCGATTACACTCATTTTTTTTATTCTGGCAATCAGTTCATATGGTTGAAATAACGAAAGAATGTGATGTAACCACGTGTCTACTTACCGGCTTGTTCTATGTCATCCATCGGACTAGGTTACATCGTGGAACGCAGCCGAACAGGACACTGAAGGCAACAGCATATCTATCTTGATCTTAGCCGAATTTTTGGAAATTTAGATCGTCCATTTTGCAAGCTCACGTGACTGACACGTGATTATGTCTGATCATGTGACTAGTTACTGTACCGATCATGTGACTTAATCACGTGTCAATGACGTGTCATCCAACCATGTCTTCAAGGAAAACGAAAGTAAATATTTTGGAAAATGTTTTCCGAGCATTTGCTACTGATTATAGAAGGCCCAATTACGCAACGAACGAAACTGCTAAATTGTATTTCGTGCCTAACAGGCGCAGTACGCAATGAAAGAAACTGCTAAATTGTATTTTTAAAGCTGTTTATTGATCTATTGATTCATAAAGACCTGAAATGATGCATTCAAATAAGACCGCCTCCTAAATAAAAACAGTACACATAAGGTGGTGAAAAAGAACGAACTAAAGTTGAAAGATCGCAACGTTCGCTACTTTGTTCAATTCCGGAAATCTCCAAGGGGCTGCAAATGGGAAATTATTTAGATTTAGATTTTATAACCTCAGAATACTGGCTTCATTGTCGTGTTTGGCTGCGTTCCACGATGTAACCTAGTCCGATGGATGACATAGAACAAGCTAGTAAGTAGACACGTGGTTAAATCACATTCTTTCCTTATTCCAACCATATGAACTGATTCACAGAATAAAAAATTTGATTTTAATTTTCTTCATTTATAGTAAATAGAGCGGAAATATTCATGAAGAAGGCCGAGGTAATCAAGTGGTCATGTGTTGTCAAAGTTCAAAAATTTGCATATCTCGTTTGGATCTCGTGAACTCAAACGTCCTTGACATTGATTTCGCGATCTACTTATGAACACATCCTGAAGTTTTGGTGAGTCTGAACATTTCATTATTTTATATCAACTTGTACCCGCTAGTGCTTGCAACGGTAATGGATCTCACTGCCGGTAAATTTCACCTCCATTACCTTACCGTTACCGATAATCGTTGATACTGATAATGTTCCTAAAATCCCGGGGAAAAACCTGAGAGTGAAACTAAAATATTTCGAAAAATCATTAACGAAGCCGATTTCTCAGCTTGATTTCCCGCTCACATCAACTACAGTGGATATATTGTATCATCGTGTATCTCGTGTGTGATTGTGTATTGTTAGGAAGTCTTTGAATTATAATATAGAGTGAATTCGATCAAAATTGATCAAACTATTTGTTTTTGTTTTTACTTCACCGAAATATCACGTCACGTGATTTGTTAATCTCGCGGCATGGGAGATGATTGACAGAAGTGGGTGGGGTTTTGCTTATCCTCCCGCCTTTTACGAATCCTTTGCAGTTGATTGACAGATTAGCTCTTCAAATGTGGAGATTGAAATATACATGATTGATAAAATATTCTTAAACGAACATTGTTTCGTAAATTTGACAATGGATCGCAATGCCAATCATCATGTTGCAGCAGCATGGCGATTATCGGCAATGGATTTTATTACCGGCAATTGAGAGTATCTACTGCCGCTGCCGACAACCCGGCATTACCGTAAGGCACTAGTACCCGCCTTATACAAATATTTTTGCTTCTAGAGGTTTAAGATGAACATCTCTTCAACATATTCACCAATTTTCAAGGTGAACATTCTTGTAATAAACGAGAAATTAATGTGCAAAAAATATCACCGCGATTTCCACAGGAAATATATCAATCATGCCGAATATTATTATATTCGGTCTGTTGGATACATACAAGCTAAGCCCCCCTCGTTGATGAATGTTTGAAACGCGAGCGTAGCGAGCGCGAAAAATTTGAGGTGTTCAAAATTTGGCAAGATGTTATAAAATTTAAACCAAGGTTTTCAAAATTTGGATCAAGGTGTTCAGATTTGGACCAAGGTGTCCACATTTTGAGGGGAGGTGTTCAACATTTCCAAGTCACTCATGTTAGGTGTTCCCAAGTTGACAGGCCTGTGGTCGGTAGGATACGATAAGAATTTAGCCTAGCTCGTGACAACTTTTGGTTGGTTTTATTTTGTCCCGAAAGTTTGTTTCGAAAGAAACGTTGACGGTTGACTCCGTAATTCCGAACATGCACTCTGGCCTAAGTTTATGGTAAAAATACTAAACTTACTTGAACTGCTATATGCGTCGTATGTTCTCTCGGATACTCTGCAAATTTAGCCAAGAGTTGAGTTCTGAGTAAGCTCAAGGAGGATTGGCTCCCAGGATCGAAACTCGATATTTTCCAACAATGAAAACGTCGAAATGTCGTTATTTTCTGAAATTAAAACCGACTATAAATTCAAAATCAGGGGTACAATTACTCCCGGGAAATCCTTCGACCACCATGTTGCCCACATGACACAACCCTCAAGTTTGATGCCCGATCATTTTTTCAATTTTTTATTTTTGCGCAAAATTCGTTTTGCACCTTCATTCCAAGATACCCGGGTTTAGCGCGCGCGTACTATAACGTCACTATAGCAACGTTTTGACCTTGAACTAACAGGATAGAGGAACGCGCTGCAGTGTCTGAACGGGTCACGACAATGCAGCCTTTTTGCACGTTTCATGGACAATCTTCGGTATTATTAAGGTAAGTTTAAAACGAGGAATGCCACTGGAATCCTGAGATTCACAGCTTTGACGTGGTATGAAAAAGGATCCATAAATATTGCGATTTCTTACTGATCGAGACTCTCAAACTTTGATGAATAAAAACAGGTGCTTTTCCTGAGACCCAGCGTCTTCTTAATTTCCAGTACTTTGCTAGAAGGTTAGAAATTTTTTCTTTGGTACACATTTGGAGCACATAACAGGTGTACATTTGAGCAACTTTGAAAATTATTCATCAAATTTTGACGGAATTATCAACCAAAGTGTTGGTGGATTTTGGTGTCATTTGCAGTTCAAATTGTTAGTTTTCAGCGTCTCTAGATAAGGGATTTTGAGGAAAAGTTGTGAAAAGCTTATTTCTGAGGGTTCATGAATACAGGTCAATGTGTGTGTAATATCTAAGCATAACTCCTGGTAGATTTTCTCATCCATCGCCATTTGTACCCCCCGAGACCTCAAATGTGGGTCCCTAGTCCAGTTCCAATTGTTCGATTTCCTTATATGGTGTTTAGACACCATATGAACGATTATTTCCGAAGGTTCATATATTCAGCTTAATGTGTGTTAAATAGCTAAGCATAACTCCTGATAGATTTTCTCATCCATAGCCATTTGTACCCCCGAGACCTCAAATGTGGGTCCCAAGTCCAGTTCGGATAGTTCGATTTCATTATATGGTGTTTATACACCATATGAAAGATTATTTCTGAAGGTTCATATATTCAGCTAATGTGTGTGTAATATCTGAGCATAACTCCTGGTAGATTTTCTCATCCATGGCCATTTGTACCCCCCGAGACCTCAAATGTGGGTCGACCCCTAGTCCAATTCGGATAGTTCGATTTTATTATATGGTGTTTATACACCATATGAAAGATTATTTCTGAAGGTTCAATCATATATTCAGCTTAATGTGTGTTAAATAGCTAAGCATAACTCCTGGTAGATTTTCTGATCCATCGCCAGTTTTACCCCTGAGATCTCAAATGTGAGTCCCTAGTCCAATTCGGATAGTTCGATTTCCTTATATGGTGTTTATACACCATATGAAAGATTATTTCTGAAGGTTCATATATTCAGCTTAATGTGTGTTAAATAGCTAAGCATAACTCCTGGTAGATTTTCTCATCCATGGCCATTTGTACCCCACGAGACCTCAAATGTGGGTCCCTAGTCCAATTCGGATAGTTCGATTTCATTATATGGTGTTTATACACCATATGAAAGATTATTTCTAAAGGTTCATATATTCATCTTAATGTGTGTTAAATAGCTAAGCATAACTCCTGGTATATTTTCTGATCCATCGCCAGTTTTACCCCTGAGACCTCAAATGTGGGTCCCTAATCCATGTAATCTGGTTTGGATTGTTCGATTTCCTTAAATGGTGTTCAGACACCACTTGAAAAGTTTATTTCTGAAGGTTCATATAATCAGCTTAGTATGTGTGTATTAGCTAAGCATAACTCCTAGTATATTTTCTCACCTATCGCCATTTGTACCCCCGAGATCTCAAATGTGGGTCCCCGACTCCCCAGTCTGGTTTGGATTGTTCGATTTCCTTATATGGTGTTCAGAGTTCAGACATGCACCACTTGAAAAGTTTATTTCTGAAGGTTCATGTATTCAGCTTAATGTGTATGTAATAGCTAAGATAAACTCCAAGTAGATTTTCTCATCCATCAACATTTGTACCCCCAAGACCTCAAATGTGGGTCTGTAGTCCGGTTCGGATTATTTGATTTCCTTATATGGCGTTTAAATACCACATGAAAAGATATAATAATACAATATATGACAATACATGTATTATATGATCTCAAGCTCATTTTATTTACCAGTTCACTAGTTTTATTTTGTATTTTATTGGGTCTAAATTGATGGGTGCAACATTGATGGGTGCAACATTCATTCAAATTACACATATAAAAGCTTTTTATACCTTCTAAATGATCAATATTATTCATTATCAATAATGTACACTTATTTTCTTCCAGCTACCGAGTGAGAATGGACATGACTAGCAACCATGCCTCTTTACCTGTTGACTCCATCTTTGAATGTTATGCCAATGATTGAGATCTGCCATGTTGCAGAAAAATGTGATTTTCGAGGTATGTACACAATGTTAGATAAATCGAATGTACAGAGTGTCAAATAAATATGATAGATAGTTTTACTGTGCTAAGGAACAATTCAGATATCATGCAGACAAAAAAGTTACCCAACATTATGTGGATCATAAAGTTAAGGGGGAGAACATATTTATTTGATACCCTGTACAGGGTGTCCCGAAAGTATGGGGGCCCCCTTGGCGGACATATACCAATGTCTTCATAGTATGTGTCATATATCATTTTAAAGCTTATCCAAACTTACATTAATTTTCCAAGTATCATGGTTCAACTCACAAAAGGTAAATAGTTACAGGCATTTCAAAACTAAGTGTTTAGCTAAACATATAGTTCATTTCAGTATCCTGGTAACAGCCCTGACCTGAATATGACCGAAAATATGAGAGCTATTGTCGACAAAAGGATGGATATTGAGTTCTAAAAAGAGGAAGTTGGGGGTAGATACTCCAGGGAAACTCTTCTAGAATGCTTTAAAAAAGTTTTATGAGGATAAAAAAATGCCAAATCCCTATTTGAAGCACGTTTAAGGTCATATATGGAAAGCATTGCTGCCATTAACATGGCTTAGGGACTCCGGGAGACACACCGACTATTATTTTGGTGTAAAACTGACTTTAATTTTTTTTAACTTTTTCCCATTTTGAGTTCAACCGTGATACTTGGCAGATCGGTGTAATTTTGGATGATCTTTCAAATGATATATGGCACATACTATGGAGACATTGAAAAATGTCTGCCTAGGGGGGCCCCCATACTTTCTGGACACCCTGTATATTAAATGCCCATATAAAGTTCCAGTCACTTTGGCTTAGAGCTTAGGCTTTATTATGCGTGTAGTACTCCAATAGTAGACCAATGTTTTCGAAATGCGGTATGTGAGGCCTTTCAATTTAATTTCAAGAAGACTTACTAAATACATGTACTAAATCCTGCTCTTGTGTATGTTTCATGAGATTTTATCCAAATTTTGGACAGATTTTGTTTTTTTTACTGTGACACCTGAATACTGCCACAACATCATTATTAAATATTATTTGTATACATTTACTAGTAGAATATGTAATTTCTTATATCAAATTCAATTTATTTCAGTTATGCTGACATCTACGTGCGTACTCTATACATCTGTGTGAGTGGGAATGTATGAGACTGACTCCTGAGGGAAATGCCACTGTTGTAGAGCTGCATCTCAGTCTTCTACTGACTTCTATGCGGTAATTTCAAGCTTATATTTTATTTGACAACATGGCATCTCTTGGACTCCAAAGCTGTTTGAAGCTATGAAACTTGATAATATTGTATAATTTAAAAATAATAACATGAACACTCCTTGTAATCATCGGTAGAATTTTGGTCAATAATGATGTTTTACTTATATAACCAAGCTTAACTGAGATTTTAAATGGCAAACAATGCAATTATATGCTCCAGAAGAGGAAATAATGGAAATGTATTCAATATATTACGGGTTATGGAAAAATTTCAATTGATTTTCTTTGCAAATATCAATGTCTCTAACAATCTATTTAATAACAAACTGCAATGCATAAAAATAGATTCTATGATTATTTTAAAGCTATACAATGATAACAAACAACCCCGATACTTTTTCTTGGTATATAAAAACCTAAAAATGTTGATTAAGCAATATAATATTATGAAACAAGTTCAACACATCTAGAAATTATCATAGAGTCACCAATAGCCATTCATATTTTAGGAATCATTTTGTTGGAAATTCTATTATCTTCCTAATGATATATAATTTATGGATTTATGGAACACATCAGCAGATATTACAAAATCAAAAATGTGGACTTTTTTGGTCTACCCTGTACATGTGTGAGATGTGTACTATATTTACGAGTGTGCCATAAAACTATTTTAAATCCTGTAACTTCAATTTTGTACCTGTAATGTGTACTAGGCCTGAGGAATGAACCAAGTCAGCTGCTAATGCTGACACACCATCCTTAATAAATGTTCTTATTTAGAATATATAATTTCTAATATTAAATTGAATTAATTTCCCAGCAAATTATTTAAAGCTATAAAATATGTAATAAAATACTGATGATTACAAGGAACTTCATGTTTTGATTTTTTAACCATAAATATAAAGGGGCTACCACTAAAAATCACTAAAAACAATAATTTCTAGATTATATTTAATAAATTAAATGAAAAATCTTGGTCTGTTTTACTTGGTCTTCCAATATTTTCTATGACTTTCTTTTACCCTACATGTGTTAAATAATCCTCATTTGCTTTCAGATAACAACACATTATGCTCCATTATCCCTCATCGCTCAGGTATCAGGGAACTGGGGAATGAATAGATGACAGGAATCTCCCGAAAATCAAGAAGAAACATATTCACAGTATCTTCCTAAATACACCTTGGATAAAAAAAATATCATCTACTAGTGTAGTATATGTAACACTTGGACTTAGAACAATATGAATTAAAATAAACATCAAAGTGACAAAGAAGAGACGTAGAACTGAAAAAAGAGCTCTAATACAGGGTGAGCCAAAAAAAGTAACCAAAACAAATCTCAATAACTCAGTCACCTTGCATGGGTTTAGTGTCATATTTTGCACAACAAGCCTTGTCCAATGTATTAGTATACCAAGTTTTCAGTGGTTATCCCATCGAACAAAGTTCGGAGGGATATAGGGAGCGCCTCCGTCCGTCTGTCCGTCCGTACGTACATACGTCAGTCCGTCCGGGCAATAACTCAAATACCGTTGGCCCGATTTTGTTCATATTTTGTACACATATACCCTATGGGAGTAGAATGTCTGCTTGAAAGCTGATTTTCAAAATGGCGGCCATTTTAGTGCCGAATTTACAGTAATTTAGGTGCAATATGTAAAATTTTAAAAAATGGCCACCATTTAAACATATTTTACTATAACTCAAAAAGTAGTGGAGCCATTTTCTTCATATTTGGTATGTGAATACTATAAGCATGACACACTGTCCTATGACACTTTTGGTAGATGGTGGCCATTTTGAAAAATGGCCACCATTTTAACGTATTTTACTATTACTCGAAAAGTAGTAAAGCAATTTTGATCATATTTTGTATGTGAATACTATAAGCATGGCACACTGTCCTATGACACTTTTGGTAGAAGGCGGTCATTTTTCAAAATGGCCGCCATTTTAACGTATTTTACTATAACTCGAAAAGTAGTGGAGCGATTTTGTTCATATTTGGTATGTGAATACTATATCAAACATTCTGAAAGAATACGTTGGACAGTTGATTATTACATTATAAAGACACTCTTGAAAGAACCAATGTCCTATAAAACATAAACAGTATTCATCCATTTAAAATGGAAGCTTTTTATTTAATTGTGTGATGTTACCAAATGTAAATATGTTTGTAAAACCACTCTGTTTAAATACAGGTAAATAAATAATTAAATTAAATATAAGCACGGCACACTGTCTAATGGCACTTTTGGTAGAAGGTGGCCATTTTGAAAAATGGCCACCATTTTAAAGTATTACTATAACTTGAAAAGTAGTGGAGTGATTTTGTTCATATTTGGTATGTGAATACTATAAGTATGGCACATGGTCTAATGACACTTTTGGTAGAAGGCGGCCATTTTGAAAAATGGCTGGCATTTTTGCTATATACTTTGTTTGTAAAAATGCCATTCATGGGTGTTCGATGGTATTCGCTACGCTTTGGCGTTGCCGTTGTTCTGGTTGTATCTCTAGTGGTCATGATTTTATGGCCATTTTACAAAACATGCCATAAAATATGGGCGTCAAGTCTGGAGGCCAACTTGAACATATTGGGCGTAGTCTTGTTCACAACACAAGCATAAACATTTTGTGTTATGGCTCTCATCTTCCTTCTTATCCCTTGTTTCAATGTTTCAAGGGTTGTTAGTGTAGAAAAAATAGACCCAAAGATAAAAAGCTGGTGGGATTTATGTCCAGTCAGTCATTTCGGCATTTGGACCATGTTTTGTAGATGACCATAAAATCGTGACTCTAAGGGACAGACCAATGACATTGATTAAGGTTTAGTTGTGCCAAATATGATTTTGAGCCCATGCTGAATGACTGAGTTATTTACATACATTTGTTTGGGTTACCTTTTTTTGGCTCACTCTGTATGTAATAATCTTAGTTTTCCTTGAATAAAGTGTGAGATACATATGCAACCCAAATATATTCTAGAATTGAAACAATATAAGTAAAGATTGTTTGTTGCTTGATCTGATTCTACCTTTACCTATGTGAGGAATAATCAAAATAAAGAAAAATAAAGAAATGGAACTTTAACCTTAAAAACTTGTAAAATGATTGTTTTTACACTTACATCATTATAACAGAGATATAGTGACAATGACAACTGACAAGATAGTAAAATCAGCTTGTAAAATCAGATGATAATCAAAACCAAAGTGCTGCCAAGACTTACACTCCCCTTCAAAAGTTTGGCTTTAATTTGAACAACTGCTTGGGCTGGAAATCTAAACTGATATAATTTCCTAGTATAACTTCATTTTTTCTCATTTTATATACAAAAGATTGCAAATTGATGGCAAATTAAATTCATTTTTAAAAATTGTCATCCAGATGTAAACCAAAAATGTTTTAACAAACTTTATTTTTTAAAAAAAATTGATATAATTTTTCAGGTTTTATAAAGTTATATGTCTCCAAAGTCAAAACTATGCTTTTTCAAGAAACATATCCCTTAAGATAACATATGAGGTATGAGAATATCCACAAATTGAACTGAAGACTTAGCTAGTAAACAATGGCACCCTTATTTAAAGTGTTCGCATTGCTTATTTAAAGTGTTCATTGCATGTTATGTTAAAAATCAACCATAGAGTAATCTAATAGGGAAGTTTGCAAAACTTGGAGTGGAGTGTAGATGGATATTGGATAACCTGAGAATAAAGGGCGGATCAGTTAAATATAGAAAAAATCAGCATATACTCATCCAGAATAGTAATAAGTTACATCCTTTGATATTTCACTTTTCATTCAAAAGACTGGAGAGACCAATGGATCCATCTAGTTCATACTCCTTGTTTATCCCCGGTAAAAACGTCATATACACACTAGACGAAAACGCATCCAATGGACAACCCTATTGTGAAAAACGAACCTGACGGCAAACGAAAAGTCTGTCCGATAATGTACGCAATTGATATTTTTCGTCGTGTACCTTGAATATTATGATGAATTTCATTCATGTTATCGCGATTGTGATTGTTTCCAATGTATTACAGTATGTTTTGGCCGATTCAACCTAAAGAAGGTACTTCTAATTCTCCGTCAAAGACCAATACAAAATGCCGGAAAATCGAAAAATAATTTTGTTATTGGCTGGATGAAGAAAACTAGGAGACGAATACTATTATTATTTAGCGAAAAAATAAGCTTATGATGTGGGCTTTCTGAATCAAAAAAGATTGAAATTATTTTTTCATGTTAAAGGGGTCTAATTTATCGTTAAAGTAAGTGTTGTCAATGTAAACAAACATGTCGGCGAATTTGATTTCTCGTCTTTAAACAATGATATTTGTGTAATAGTTGAATACTATATTACGAATGTTAATGATTTAGAAACCCAATTTCAATAGCTCCATGCTCGTATATAACATTCTATATATCTCCCAATAATAATGAAATAAAAAGTAATTTTCTCAAGGGTAGTACAATTTTTTTCGAGAATCCAATGGATCAATCTTGATACGCGCGAGGTTATCACGCCACATCTTGGTGGGCACTATCGTGGGCGAAAGCTCATTGTCCAAATCGCTCTAGTTTGCGACGTTAAACACAGAAGAAAACTCACCCCTGTTCAAAATAAACAGTTCAAAAGATTCGAACCAATATCTCGATCATTTCTTGTGAGTTTTGGAATTTTTCGTTTGGAAATAAGACCAAAATTCACGATTTAAATGTTGAAGTGTACAAAATGGCGGCTGTTTGAATTCGAATTTTGTATTACGACATACCCATATATGGGACAGAATATCGGTGGTGCACTCTGGGAGCCAATCCTCCTTGGAGTAAGCTTATGATGATTAGCAATGGCGGGAACACTTATTGCATTACGACCGCTTGGAAATTACGAATTCAAATTTCGGTCGGTTTTTTTTGCTTGAATGTAAAATAAAAGCGTGAGAATTAACTTCCGGAATCAATCTAAGTATCAAACGTAGAGCCATGTTTAGTCCAGAAATATTTTTGAAAACTTTGGAGTTAATCAGGACTAGTTTAACACTAAAGTTATTCAAACATAAAATTGCCAAATTTAAATGCAATCGGTCGCATTTTCATTTCTTTAATTAATTTCCACTAGCCTCATTTTGAGTTAAATCACGTGATACTAAAATGGGGAATACCAAACATGGTGGATGAGGCCTATTGAATTTTGTGTTAGGCAAAACTGCCCTAATTCACGTCACCATACTAGTCAATGGGCAAAAGGGCAAACGCCTGACTTTTTATCTCGAGTTATGGATTTATGTGGCCTCACTGGCCTATCTGAGGTTCTAAAGCTATGTCTAAGCTACATCTTGACACTAAACTCAATAGGGGCCAATCATCTACTTTTTGAAATAATTGGTCAATTGTGACACTACCCCCTCTCTCTGCAGACACAAATTTAAATTCACAAAAATGAAGGCAAAATTAATACGCCACTTGACTCGAAATTTTCCTTCAGATAACCCAAATAAACGCATTTTCAGAAGAAATGGCATGTTGTCATTGCAAAAAGATGACAACTGTGCCTACATACTAGCTTACTGACTCGTCATGATCACAATTGTGTTGGGACTACATTTATTTTTGAATACTACTTTTTTCTATTCAGCGGAAGTGACGTATTAGGGCATTTTGGCCTAATAGCCACATGGTTGGATGATTTCTGGCTTTAAATTGCGTTTTTCCAATTTACTAGAGTTTTTCAAGTAGTTTTGTGCAGTTTAAGAATATTCTGACAGCAATTATGAAAAATATGGCTACTTCATTACCCCTGGGGTCATTTTTCCAAGAACCCAATGGTTTTCCTTTAAATTTGACTAGTTTTTCATTTACATCATGAAATCCACTGCCTGATGGTGACATTTTTCAGTATTGTGTCAAGAAATTGAGTATTTTATTGCATATTGCGATTTTTAGCCAAAATCACTGAACCATGAACCAGAAAATTGGACAAATTTGGCCCACTTTTTGGCAAAATCTTACTAAAATCATCACTTTTTCATACTTTATTCCATTCAACAACCTCCTGATTTGAAAAATGATGACAAATTTGATCAGTTTTGACTCTGGCCTAGAGAATTGGGACTTTTGAGATATTTTTTAGCTCGAATAATGTAGTCATTCAGAGTGAACAAATACATCAAAAATTGACACTTAACTCACCAATTTCTGACTGCATCCCCGATATGTACCTTCTTTCTATACTGGAAACCATAAGATGGAAAATTCAATCTTTATTATGAATAGCAACTCGTTGGCTTCCCCATTTACGACAAAAAATGACATTTAGGGGTCACTAAGGACAAAATTGTAGCCAAATATCCTCAAAATCAGTGGTTTTTGGGGTAAAAAGCGAAAATTGCTGATTCAGCAAAAACATTTAATTTGTTCATGAAAATTCCCCTTTTTGCCTCCTTCCAAAATATGTTTCACACTAATAAACTTCAATTCTGGGCGATTCTGAGTAGTTTTAAAAAATTTCGGTCACTTTCATATGTGACTAATAGGCAAAACTGCCCTAATTCACGTCACCATACTAGTCAATGGGCAAAAGGGCAAACGCCTGACTTTTTATCTCGAGTTATGGATTTATGTGGCCTCACTGGCCTATCTGAGGTTCTAAAGCTATGTCTAAGCTACATCTTGACACTAAACTCAATAGGGGCCAATCATCTACTTTTTGAAATAATTGGTCAATTGTGACACTACCCCCTCTCTCTGCAGACACAAATTTAAATTCACAAAAATGAAGGCAAAATTAATACGCCACTTGACTCGAAATTTTCCTTCAGATAACCCAAATAAACGCATTTTCAGAAGAAATGGCATGTTGTCATTGCAAAAAGATGACAACTGTGCCTACATACTAGCTTACTGACTCGTCATGATCACAATTGTGTTGGGACTACATTTATTTTTGAATACTACTTTTTTCTATTCAGCGGAAGTGACGTATTAGGGCATTTTGGCCTTAGGGTCAAGATTGCAGTAAAAAATCCCATTGACGACCATTATAACGTTTCATTTGATAATATATTCATGGGCACAGATCTAGCTCAGCGAAACAGTGCCCAGTGTTCATTGGAGTCTTGTCTAGCTTGCCGTTACAAAATAAGCATACGGTGACCACACCGTTTTTGAGATAACTGAATCTGGAGAGAGCTACCACCGTAAAGCTACCTGTTTCAGAAAATTATTCTGCTCTACATAGTCTCAAAAATCACTCCGCCATCTATAAAAATTCTGTTTCTAACCAAACTTGTAAATGTTTCCTGATAGATTAGTACTTACCCTATCGAGAATAAACCTTGATTCATTTATCAAACACTAGATGGCGCTGCGACGGGACAGAAAAGGAGAAAGAGCTTTTTATACAGAAAACCAAATAACCAACGGTAACCGCTAGTATCCCTACTCCGGACTATATTCTAATAGTGACACGGTTGAATGATTTTGTGCCAGAAATCTTGTTTTTCTTAAACATAAGAGTGTTTCAAGACTTTTTGTGCAATTTAAGCCCAATCGCACCTATAGAAGAGCTTTTATAGCTGCTTTGTTAACCCCGGGGTCATTTATTTTAGGGCCATGCAGTTTTATACCTAACTGACCATTTTTGCAATAGAAATACTGCTACTCGCTATGGCTTAACAAAAATTCACAATATTTAGCATGTCAAAACGTTTATTCGCACTTCCATAATGTTTATTGCCAAAATCACTGAACCATGAAACAAAAAATGGTCAAATCTAGTCATTTTTGATCAGAGATTACCCCAAATTAGCCATTATTTAGTGATTAATTTTCAGTAAATGAGCTTCTATATTAAATTATCATATCAGTTTTGCATAGCAATGTTCTTGTTTTAATTACATGCATGTTAGTAACTGTTTTCAGCCATATTTAGTCAGTCTATTGGGTTAAATGTGTCAAATTTGTCATATATTTTCAAGAAAAATTCAGACACAAAGGAAAAAGCTGTATTACATGCTATGATAATGGCTAAATCCTTAAATTCGGTAATAATTTGATAAAAGCCTGTCAACAACCTCTTAAAACCAGCACTAACAGCCCTCTTGTGCTATCCTGTAACAAAATACAGGCCAAAAATGGTCAAAACCTGTGATTTTTAGGTAAAAAATGAAAAATGCTGAATCAGCGAAAATCTAAATTGCTAATTCTTCAGATAATTTGATTTTTCTTAGAGATGCAAGGTACACATTGCTAAGAAAGTGTAATTTTTACAAAAATAACGCTATTTCCCACCCTAGTACTGTCACCACCCTGTTGCTAATAGTGACACGGTTGAATGATTTTGTGCCAGAAATCTTGTTTTTCTTAAACATAAGAGTGTTTCAAGACTTTTTGTGCAATTTAAGCCCAATCGCACCTATAGAAGAGCTTTTATAGCTGCTTTGTTAACCCCGGGGTCATTTATTTTAGGGCCATGCAGTTTTATACCTAACTGACCATTTTTGCAATAGAAATACTGCTACTCGCTATGGCTTAACAAAAATTCACAATATTTAGCATGTCAAAACGTTTATTCGCACTTCCATAATGTTTATTGCCAAAATCACTGAACCATGAAACAAAAAATGGTCAAATCTAGTCATTTTTGATCAGAGATTACCCCAAATTAGCCATTATTTAGTGATTAATTTTCAGTAAATGAGCTTCTATATTAAATTATCATATCAGTTTTGCATAGCAATGTTCTTGTTTTAATTACATGCATGTTAGTAACTGTTTTCAGCCATATTTAGTCAGTCTATTGGGTTAAATGTGTCAAATTTGTCATATATTTTCAAGAAAAATTCAGACACAAAGGAAAAAGCTGTATTACATGCTATGATAATGGCTAAATCCTTAAATTCGGTAATAATTTGATAAAAGCCTGTCAACAACCTCTTAAAACCAGCACTAACAGCCCTCTTGTGCTATCCTGTAACAAAATACAGGCCAAAAATGGTCAAAACCTGTGATTTTTAGGTAAAAAATGAAAAATGCTGAATCAGCGAAAATCTAAATTGCTAATTCTTCAGATAATTTGATTTTTCTTAGAGATGCAAGGTACACATTGCTAAGAAAGTGTAATTTTTACAAAAATAACGCTATTTCCCACCCTAGTACTGTCACCACCCTGTTGCTAATAGTGACACGGTTGAATGATTTTGTGCCAGAAATCTTGTTTTTCTTAAACATAAGAGTGTTTCAAGACTTTTTGTGCAATTTAAGCCCAATCGCACCTATAGAAGAGCTTTTATAGCTGCTTTGTTAACCCCGGGGTCATTTATTTTAGGGCCATGCAGTTTTATACCTAACTGACCATTTTTGCAATAGAAATACTGCTACTCGCTATGGCTTAACAAAAATTCACAATATTTAGCATGTCAAAACGTTTATTCGCACTTCCATAATGTTTATTGCCAAAATCACTGAACCATGAAACAAAAAATGGTCAAATCTAGTCATTTTTGATCAGAGATTACCCCAAATTAGCCATTATTTAGTGATTAATTTTCAGTAAATGAGCTTCTATATTAAATTATCATATCAGTTTTGCATAGCAATGTTCTTGTTTTAATTACATGCATGTTAGTAACTGTTTTCAGCCATATTTAGTCAGTCTATTGGGTTAAATGTGTCAAATTTGTCATATATTTTCAAGAAAAATTCAGACACAAAGGAAAAAGCTGTATTACATGCTATGATAATGGCTAAATCCTTAAATTCGGTAATAATTTGATAAAAGCCTGTCAACAACCTCTTAAAACCAGCACTAACAGCCCTCTTGTGCTATCCTGTAACAAAATACAGGCCAAAAATGGTCAAAACCTGTGATTTTTAGGTAAAAAATGAAAAATGCTGAATCAGCGAAAATCTAAATTGCTAAT